AAAATGTTGAAAAAATTCGTGAAATCATCGAGAAAGATCGACGACGGACCATTGAAGAAATTGTGGAGCTGTCGGGAGTGACGTGGAGTTCAGTTCAGCAAATTTTGACAGAAGATTTGGCAACAAGTACACGCGGGTGATGTGCAGCCTTTGCTGCGGCTTTAACGGAGCTCGTGTAATTTTTTGTAGCAGTGAAGTAATATCGTATTTCCTCTTCAAGATTCCCCTGAAGTTGAGTTCCACCCCAAGATGTTTCCATGTTTCGTCGAACCCAACTTGGGGAATTGGAGTGCCCGCAATATTAAATAAGGTGCCTTCTATTAATTTGGATTTTTTGTCAAACCCGGACGGTTTCACGCTTAACGCACGACACTTGAATGGCGCAGGGACGAGTCCATGACAAGCCAGCTCGCTTGTTACAGCGTCGATGCTTTCTTGCAGACCCTCCACTGTTGCTGCGATAAGAACCATATCATCAGCGAATGCCAGAGCGTTGACCAACGTATTGTTTATAGAAAAACCCACGGTGTCCGGGATTTTCGCGAGTACCTCATTGTTTATGCTCGTGGTAATGATTCGCAAATCTATTGTCGAGCCTTGTTGAGTTTGCACGTGGTGTGCCGACTTTATTTTTATTTGACTTCTCGAAGGACCACCCCGATATCTTCAGAGAATAAATTCTATTTATTTTCCACGTCGCACTGGACTTCAAGAAATAGACTATATATTCTACTAGGATTCTAAGTGGTAACTTGCTGCTGTTCTTGGCTGAACTGACTCTCGTTTTTTCGTCTTGAGCGTCTTCGAGACGCGTCCAACTAAAGACACGCTGATTGGCAGATAATTCTGAAAATTACCTACCAATCAGCTCATCTAGCCGTGCTGCCCACGCCCTTCCAGTGCGCCTTTAGCGCGATCTTTCTGGAAGGGTGGGAGACGGTTATAAGGGGGGCGAAAGTTAGTAACAATCCGGGAATTTCCTCTGGGTTACTGGTCGGTGAAAATACCGGCATGGCCAGTTGTACCCTTCGGAGTTCGTAATTTATGGCAGGTCCTTCAGCTATCGAGCGCGAGGAGACACGACTTTCTAAAAAATATAACGAACTAATTGCCTTGCCCCGGCAGGATGGCCGGAAACGCGTATGAATGGAAAAGCAAATTCTGCAACTCAAAAATAGCCGTTCGGTACGGTCGTGCCATAAATCGTGCCAACGAAGCTCTAACACTCATCAATAATAAGATTGAACAAGATGGAGGATAGCGGATCACCTTGTCTGATGCCCCTGTCAGGGACAATGGGTGCCGATCTTTTTCCATCCACCTCGATGTACATGCTGCTGGTTTTGTACAGATTGGCGATGTATGCCACCAATTTAGATGGGAAACCTCTCTTCGTCATTACCCATTCGATCGAGCCATGAGAGACAGAGTCAAATGCCTTACATACGTCGAGGAAGCATATATGCAGTTGTTTGTGAAAACTCCACGCCTCCTCCGTTATCGAAGCCAGGACTATCAGGTTCTCTGCAGTGCCATCCGCGTGAATGAAGCCTCGCTGCCGCTGGTCGTGATGAAATTTGGTCATGATTCTCGTGGCAAGGATCTTGTGGTATTGCCTTAGAATTATTGAGGTCACAGAGATTGGGCGGTATTGTGCCGGATCCATTTCTGCGACTCCTTTCTGGATCAGTACTGTACGCGAGTCCCTCCAGACACTGGGTACAGTACCGCACTCCATAATTATATTAAAAATAATCGCTTTAACCATGTCCGGAACTTCTTTCAACCACGTTTTGCAACTTAAATCATCCGGACCATGTGCTGCGCGGTCGTCCATTTTGCAAGCTTTAATCTCCTCAACTGAAATGGGTGCAAGCAACTGATTCTCTGTCCCTTCCACATCCCCCGCGCTAAGTGTACCACTACCGTTATAATAGCATTCGGTGCTCTGCTCAAATATTGATCGCCAATAATCCTCTTGCGCCTCCAGGCTCGGGTGGGTACGCTTGTCGGTGTCACCGTCCAAAATTTTACTAGCCGCCTTGGACTGGTTTTTGCGCCACAGATGCTGTATGGTAGCGTACTCTTCGCGACGTTGTGCTTTATTACTAAGATGGACGAGACGTGAAAATGTACTTTTAGGTCGAGATTTTCTTCGTGTAAACCGGGCATTAAACCATAATGTTAATACATCATTGGGGCTCTCGTGCATGAGCACCATATTGACGGCTTGTATTAGGTAGTGAATATGCTGGTCCCGACACCTTGTTGAATGCATATACCTCAATGCCGCTCTCAGCCAATTTCTTCTCTCCATGTTGTAATCTGTCAAATTTTCCTGTACTCTTATATCTCTATCGTTGTCGTTTGAACTTCTATGAACCGTTTCAAGTGGCGTTTCGTTTCGGTTAATACGACTGCGTGGTTGATTCTCGGGCACTTCCGGTTGTTGCTGATTTCTCATTTCTTCCAGGATTTGTTTGTATACGGCTCTTTTCCTTAGGCTCTTAATTGCGTCAGCTGTTCGCGGTGGGTCTAATTTTACTCTCGACTGTATATGTAAATTAATTTCATTCAGGTTTTCAGCGTCTATTTCCACTCGTGCTATCCTCCTCATGTCCTCCTCCTACCAGCGATGCTTTCGTCGAGTAAGATCTATTTGCGCGTTCACAATCTCGGGATGCTTATTTTTGCGGTGTGCTCCCAGACCTATTTTTGATTTAAAGGAACGGGTACATTCGGCGCATATGAATGAATCTGACGTAATGGGCTGCTGCAGACTTGTTTCTATTGGGCTTTCTGGTGTAGATGATGTAGAAGGAGAAGACAGAATTGAAGTGATTGATGATGATGATGGTTGTGATCCACTGGAGGGGTGTACGGAGGTACACTCCCTGTTTTGGGTAATTCTGTTTATAATGTAATCAGTGGAAGTGTCCCTAAGAAGGGACTGTTGACTGTTTCTTAGGATATCGAGCGGTGTATTTGCTCGACCGGACAATATTTCGGGAATTGGTGTGTCCGGTGGGGAGTCACCCCCTGTATTGTCAGATGTAACTCGACTCATTTCTCATTGGCGGCGTATTTAACTGCTCGCGCTCTTTCCGCAAGCCTCCTTGCCAATAGTGTAGAGTTTCTTCCTTGCATTCCTTTGCTGTATGCCCATATTTCACACATTTATAGCATTGTAGTATGCGTATGTGATCCTCAACGCGGCACGATCCATATCCAATACATATTCTATTCCGACCCATAATCTGGTTCCTTGCGGCCGGTGACACTTCTATAACTACATTCCTGTTATTACGATCTTTAATCAGCGGGTAAACGTAGACGACTTTAATTTCCTCGGCTGGTACGGCATTTAAGTTTCTATCGCAAATCTCTTCTGCTAAACTTTTGGGCTCAATGTTACTGGGCACATTCCTGACTAAAAGCCTAGGGCGCAGCTGCAATTTACTTCTAATTGTTAATCCCGCGTCCTTTAATTCTTGCGCTTCCTTTAGTTTCTCCAGATCGACTGTTTCCGCGATAACACGAACGGCTACATTCTTTAACGCAATAACACTTATCGCACGAATATTATATCTCTTAGGGCATATACGATTGAGTAGCACTTTTTTTATCGCCTGGGAATCGGTATAAACTACGCTCGAGTTTGGCAGAGGCTCCACTACAAATTCTTTTAAGTTGTTCACAGGAACCGTACGACTTTTCGAAATAGATATAGCAGGAGTGGACCCGATGCTTCGATCAGCAGCCACACCAGCATAAGATCTCGAAACTGGCCCGAGCTTGGCTGTGACAGTGTCTTCAAATGTGTTAATTGCATTAGAAACCGAATCTACAACTGTCTTGCCAACCGTGCTTTCAAGCTGCTTATGCTGTTGCGTATTTGCGTACATTAGATCCTTCGCTGCATCTATTTCACTACGTATTTTTTCCGGCATATTTGAATTGATTACTGTACTAAAACTATCCTTCAAGTCGTACAATTCCTGGTACCTCGCTGATATGTTAACATACGCAAGGTCGCGTTGAAGCATGCTGTGCTTTGAAAGAAGAGTCCCAAAATGATCAAAACTTTTTTTTGTTTCCTCGAATGAAAAGGGACATGAAAGGAAAGCATTTTGCTGATGTTGCTGAGGTGAAGAAAAAAACGACGGAGACGCTGTCAAGCATTACAAAAGATGAATTTAAACAATGTTTTGAAAAATGGAATAAAAGATTAGACAAGTGTATTAGTGCAAGTGGAGAGTAATTTGAAGAATTCATTTTTTTTTACTTTTAATATAACCTAACTTTTTCAGAGAAACAAGTCTTGCATTTAAAATTTCATCGGTTCCGTGCTTCGGAGACATTTGTTCCGTAACGGCTAGCAATCTGAACAAAAGAAGACATTCAGCGTGCAGATGGCTTATAGCACGTTTTATGGCACACAATTTAGAAAACTGTTTTTGAAAAAGTCACTATATTCATCGATCCCTTTGTTAACGCAGCTTCCCGCGCTTCTTGTTGGTTGGAAGGTCGGGTTGGCGTTGGTAATTATTGCACGTGTATGTGCCAACTACTTATGATCGCGATTGTAATCGCGACTTTATTTGTGGTGTTGATTATTGCGGACTGGACCGCACTGGTGTATCAAAGTGTCGAATGTTGCGTGTTAGAACGCTCAAAACTGTTGTCGATTGTTTCTGAATGTATTAGAATCTGCTCGTGTGCCGTGAAGTGGCTGTATATGTATATGTTCCTTTGCCAAAATGGGGAGTTTACCTAGTTGGCAAATCATGGGCCTTTCACCCCCTAGAGCTGCTCTTCTAGGCCCTCGTGCACTCCCCCGTGGTCCGCAGAGTAGGGCGGTGGTAGAGAGGGAGAGACGGTCCCAAACGGGGGTGTCAGCCCCGCGTGGCGATTTTGCCGAAACGTCGACTGTGCGGGTTTATGGCATGTTTACCGTTACTGAGCGCGCAGAGGCAAGTACCGGCTTACCATGTGGCCCTCAGAAGTGGAGAATTTCCGCGGACATCAGGTAATAAGCCGGATTTGCCCTCTGGCTTGAATAGGCTATTGTTATCAAAGAACTTGTAGAAAAAACTTCTCAAAAGTAACGTCGCCTGGAATCCGTGCCATAAACCTCTGTTGGTTAAACAGTTCATGTTTTTGGATTATTTTTCCTCAATCTTATCTTATCCTCCTGCAGTAGGTATTTTATTACAGATAATTTTACGCAAGTAAATGATTAATAACGTAATTTTATGT